GATGGTCTCCCCCGTGTCCATCACCAGAGGGCTATTGTGGGAGGGGGAGGGCGGCAATATACTGCCGCCTTCTCCGCCCCACTCTCCTACGTCTGATCGGGGGCGCCAGGGGATCTCCCTCGCGCTCCCGCTCTTTTGCCTCCTTCTGCGAGATGACTGACTCGCAAAAGGAGGCAACCGCTGTCCATGACCTCTCGCTTCCCAGCATGGCGCGTATGACGCCGGGAAGCGAGAGGTCGCTTCCGATAGTCGCCACCAGGGTGCGGCGCTCCTCTTCGTGGGCACAGCACACCTCCAGGGTGTGCTGCGCAGTGTCCTCGTCGGCGCCGCACCCATGGCACGACGACGTCTCCTCCCTTCCAATCCTCCACAGGTACCGCCCGAAACAGCCGTGTCCGGACAGCACCTGTTTCAGACGGAAGGTGAGGGAGCCATGGCTCCTCCCGAGCCAGTCCGGGAGCCGCGGGCGTATGGCCTCTATAGTGCGCACGCCGTATTCGGGGCGCGCTAGGCCACTCGCCCACAGCTCCACGGTCGTCCGTTTCCTCCGCTCCCGGGCGCGGGCGAGCTCTTCCGGGGCAGGAAGGTCGCCCCGGGCTAGCTGCTCAGCCCGCACCCAGTAGCCTTCGGCCAGCACCGCCGCCTCTATCTCCCAGGGGGGAGTGCCGGCCAGAAGGCAGGCCGCAGCGTGGCCTACCGTTCGGTAGGCCCGGCATATTCGCGTCGCGATGACGCGCTGCGGCCTGCGGAGGAGGGCCCTGCTCGACGCGTCCAGGGCATCTGCCCATATCGGCGCGCCGTACAGGGCCATGCTCCTGACGACCGTGGCGTACAGCCGTCTGGCATGCACGCCCGGACCCCGCAAGTTCGGGAGGAGCCTCGATAGGCCTGAGGCCGCACCCACGAGCCTGGGGGTCAGCGTCCGGAAGTGTTCTCGGAACCGCCAACCCCCGTCGAGGACAAGGCCAAGGTACTTGATATGACTCTTGACCCTGACCTCGTTCCCGCCGACCCGGAGTGAGGCGCCCGCAGGGACCCTCCACCTCGGCCCTTTAAAACAAAGGGCCTCGGTCTTGTTGAGGGCCACTCGAAGACCGAGCGCCTCAATCCTCCGGGTCACTAGAGTGGGAGGGGCTCGGAGCCTACCCTAAGTTAAGGGTGATTAGGCCATAGTCAACCACGCTGGCCAAGTGCGGGTTAGTTGACTTCACACGTATCTTTGAATTTCTTCTGAGATATGTGCAGGTTGCATCACGATGTTTTCCTTCACCGTAAGAACGTCGGATAAATGTACATATGCAAATCGAAAATCGAAAAACACATTGGTACATGGCGGGATTCGAACCCAGGACCTGCAGATTGCAAGGCAAGTGCTTGACCACTGAGCCACCGACGCTCCGACAATATACGTACTAGGTATAATTTAGAAGAAATACAATTTTATTAGATTACATTGTGATAAAATTAAAGATTACGTCAGTGACATTTGCTTGTATGTAGAAGGTGCTATCCTACGTATAATAAAGTGGATTAAAGGATAAACAGAAAATGTCAAGCGTGGCTTAGCGCGAAGTCTAAATATTTTAAAATGCGTACTCAAACCCGCACGTCACGACTTATTCCAACAATAGCGTCAGCTGCTCACAGATGTTATAAGTTTATACGTTAGTAAAACCTTATTTTATTCCCAGCTTTTTAGAACTTTATCATACCGGATCCAAACTAACCACGTTTTATGTAGATCGTACTAAGATCGTGTTTTAAATGGTTAAATTCCATTTCTTACAAAACTCAACTACGCATAATTTCTTCTATTAATATCTACTAATAGCCGTTTGATGTACACTACATTCCACCGTATTTTAAAATACGTATAGCTTAGTAACACATAGTCTACTAATTATGTTTTTAATGGCGCGTACAGAGTCGCGAGCGACCGCTACTATTCAATATATTCAGGAGAATTGTCCGCCGGCCAGTTAGATTGATGACCCAAGGATAACAAGGGAAAGCCATTAGATTCCCAGGACTTTGGATCTATTAGAGTGCCAACAATTCAGTGAATAAATCCAAGTGTAGTTTAAAATCTGAATTCTTAAATTCCGCACTTTGATTTTGTAATTCAACAATGTTAAATCAATAAATCAGTTGTATAAAAAGGTTTGTTGAAGTATGTATAATATCTTATGACATAAAACCTGCATTAAAACATATGTTCATCTCTTTCATTCTGCTTCCAAAAATACAGACAGCAATTTTTGTACAAGAGCTACAGCACTGTGAAAACATTAGCTTGACCACCATACTTAGAGCTATCAGCTTTATTTTCCCCCATTTCAATATTTAAAACAATTGTTTGTAATAGTGATCACATTATCTTAACGAAAGTTGAAATTAACATAGAATTAAACTATATCTTTTGGTTACTATCCACTATAGATAGTATGTGGCGTGTATGCAGACATTTTGAGAAAGATAAATTGTTCTTAACATGGCTGAAAGCTGACAAGAGGTCTCCTAACGTCACCGAATAATGCCTTTATAAAGAAATATGGCCAAGCTTTGTATATTACATTATAAATAAGACGTCCGGGATTACATGTTAAACTTCATGACATTACGCATATTTATATTGTTATAACTCCCACAACTCTGTCCACACGGAATTTAAAAAAAAAACTTAATAAGTAAGCCTTTATCTTCTTCTATCACCTATTCTACCACATCTGTGCCAAATTTCATCGAGATCCGTAGAGCCGTTTTGCACCTTCTAACAAACATCCATCTATGTATCCAAACATTCGCATTTATAAGATGAATTCCTATTTACCTGTGCTTGTGACCACGGTAACTTATGACCACAATTTTTATATGTCATCTTACCATGATGAAATAATACCACGATTGAGATTCTATTTGTACAAACATAAAAATAATTTAAATTGTCTATACCCTAAAGGGTAAACCCGTGAGTGCTGTACAACTTTCATAACAATTATTTTCTTTTTAACATTAGTATAGTTAAAAAGCCATAGGGTCAGAATATACGTGATAAAATTTAATCGAATCACCTCCAAAAATTGGTTCGGTGGCTCAGTAAGATAACCGAATTCAAAGTGTATAGCGAATTGTACAAACAAGTCCTGAAAATTAGAAATCAGATTTGCATGAATTTGCATGTCGACTGCGAACGACAAACATCTATTCTACCTTTAAAATAAAATTAGGATTTTGGGCTCGACGTTCCCTCGTACTTGCAGAAATTTAATTAAAAACTTAAACACAACCGTTTAAGCAGAACAATTAAGTTTCTAATAAACATGTTTTACAAATTACGTTGACGTCCTCTCGTCATGAGTATAACCACAATATTATTATATTCCATACATTGTATACAACATTTTATTAAGCGTGAAATGAAAAAGAAATACGAAATATTTTTTTTTCGCAAAACGAATCAAATACGTGACAATTTTGCAACCATAAGGTTTCAGCTGAAACCGCCAAAAGGACGTTATTAAATCTTCGTTCGCATTTTTTGTCTAACGGAATATAATTTATCGTTGCCAGCAAAATTGATGCCACTAGAAGATGATTCGTATAGGAAAATAATGGGACCCTTTCATATGCTATGAAAAGATAATTGTGATTTCTTCTTTTAATATAAATAGTTATCTTTACATTTATTTGTCTTTGAGTTATATAAAAACAGTTGTATAAAAACAATATTAATAATATTTTTTTACTAAAATGTATACTACAGAGACTTACTAGGAAAATTGTTAGAAAAATCACAACCATTTTTGTAATGAGTAAAAATTGTTTAATACATATTATCTAGACAATTTCATGTTCAGATATATTTATTTGTACGTTTAAAATATCTCTTTAACCCATATAGTGGCAAGATTTCTTTTTTGAAGAAAAGCAAAGTTAAAAAAAAACTAAGTTAAAAATTATTTTATCGTATATTTTTATAAAGTTGTATGTATGGTATACTATACAAAATAAACATAAGGGTCAATTATAAACATAATTATTGTACACCTAAAGGTTAATACCACAATAATTCTCCAATTCGCAACAGCCTTGTATGTAATATCTGTCATATGGGTGCTGATGTCGCCATTCCATTGTAAACATAATGACTTGTTGCAATGTAATTTATTTATAAATTATGATATTACAAGAGTGATAAGAATTGTGAAACGAAGTTCAAATTGTCAGTGGATAATCGATTTGTATAATTGTATAAATTATACATGTATACAGTTCTGTAGTATACAATATAGTAAAGAATACAGTATAGTATAAATCTTTTTAATAGCAAATAAGTGTGTATACGCTTAAAGTACGCGTAATATAGGAAAACGGTTGCAAGATGCTTACAAATGTTGAGAAAAACAAAATATTAATGAGAATATACTATTTTATTTTATACTATGAAAAATACACTAGCCACATTACTAGTGTAGAATGTAACATTGGAGATTCACGAACAGAGATAACACGTTCATTGTATGTATTCCTTTTTGTGTAAAAAGCTTGTATGTGGTATTTTATTATTCGAACTCGATTGGAAAAAATTAAAAAACAGTATTACTATACTCAATCAGAGCGTCGGTGGCTCAGTGGTCAAGAGTGCGTCGGTGGCTCAGGGATCAAACACTTGACTTGCAATGTGTTTTTCGATTTCCGATTTACATATGCACATTTATCCGACGTTCTTACGCCGAAGGAAATCATCGTGATGCAACCTGCACATATCTGAGAAGAAATTCAAAGAAAGTGTAAAGTGAACCAACCCGTACTTGGCCAGCGTAGGTTCCGAGCCCCTCGGAGGGGACGTATGTGTATGGGGACGTAGTGAACTGATGATATTATATATATACGCAATCTTACTTCCTACGTCACCAATGCGCACTTAGCTAAGTATAGTTATCGTTTTAAAAATGCAAAGCATACTGCATCATTAAATTTAATATATAGTGCACTTAGTCATTCGCGAATGTGTTCATTTGTTTACAGAATATGCATTACTCATGCTAATTATAAATTAATCGGTATCACGAAACTAAATAACTGATAATAGCATTGTTACTTTATAAGTCATATAGAACAGACTAGAATAACATAAACGTGTATTGACACAAAAAAAAGAGCTAACTTACAAATACAAAAAAAAGAACGAGGCAATCTCAGCTGCTACAGGGCCACCTTGGCCCTCTCTGCGATGGTTTTCAGCAGGCTCCTTTGCTCTCACACCATTTGCTTAGGTGGTAGGTAACTAAACTTAATAACCAAAAAAAGGTAAAATAACATTAACAATAAAACTAATGAATCGTTAGCAAAAACTTTACGTATAAAAAACCACGCTTAAGGTTTTTCAATGTTAATGTATTTTGGGCGGACAATTAAAATGCTTTTAAAACCACAAAGTGCCCGGTCATTATCAAATTATAGATTAAACTAGATAACTACAGTAAGCGCGTGCACTTTGACAGGTACTAACTATTGAAGCTAGGCACTTATCGTATTTTAAGTTATAAAGAACTTACGTAACCGATTTTTAAAAAAGTAATGAGAAAAAAAAAACTATAATTTTTTATGAAACTTTAATTAAGATTTGGTATCGGGTTTCTAAAGCTAGTAATCTTTTAACGTACTACTTTCTTGAGTATTACTTCGTGAATAACTTATGTAGTCGTCCGTATCTAGGGGCTTGATCCTAACCTAAACTAGGAGTGACTAGGCCTTAGTCAACCACTCTGGCCAAGTGCTGGTAGGTTAACAATTTAATATACTTAAATT